ACCCCTTATCACATAAAGTTATTATTGAAAATCCTGAGAAAGCAGATTTATTTAATAAATATTTCTGTTCAATTATTGAAGTTGACGATAACAATACCGAAATTCCCATAATTCCGAACAGGACTTAGAGTGTGTGTGATAATATTAGAATTGACGCCACAGAAGTCAGTGACATCCTCCAGGGACTAGGCCGGAACAGCGTCTGGTTGCGACGACATCAGTCATTATGTTAAAATAAATATCTCATACTGTTTGTAAACCATTAACATTATTGTTTAATATGTCGCTATATACTTGTACTTATCCACCTATGTGGAAATCAGCAAAAGTTATGCCCCTTTTAAAATGTGTGATAGGCATTCTCCATCAAATTACCGACTGCTATCATTATTATCTTTTGTAGGCAAAGTATTTGAGAGGGTTATTTATAAGCATGTTTATAGTTATTTTATGAGGAATTCTCTCTTTTATGAACATCAGTCTGGCTTTATGCCAGACCATTCTACTGTTTATCAATTAATTGAAATTTATCACAATATGTGCATGGCACTTGAGTAAAAGAACATTCTGTGACATATCAAAAGCTTTTGATAGGGTTTGGCACTTGGTGCTATTGGCAAAATTGAAATCTTATGGAATTACTGGAAACCTTTTGGGATGGTTTAAAGTTTATCTTTGTCATAAAAACCAGAGAGTTTTCATTGCTGACTCACTTTCGTCCATTGGTTTTATCAAATCAGGAGTACCGCAGGGTTCCATTCTTGGCCCTTTACTCTTTATAATATAAATAAATGATATTGCTGGAGTTTTACGTTCTACATGCGTCTTTTTGCTGACGATACCACCATATTTAAATCCTCCACACTTTGTGTTGATATTGAAACCGAGTTAAATCAAGACTTACTGTCGCTCGATTCCTGGGCAAAGCAGTGGCTAGTAAGTTTTAACCCTGGTAATTCGTAAATCTAAATGGTCAACTTGATCTTATCTTTGGTGGTAAAATTTTAAATTTTACTGAAACGCATAAACACTTGGGTGTTGTTTCAAATTTAAGTGGGAAATGGTCTGATCATGTCAATTATGTTTATAATTCTGTTATGAAAAAGATAAATGTACTCAGGAAGTTAAAATATATCCTAAATAGGATTTGTTCAAAATTTATACCACATTTAATTTACCGGTGTTTGAGTACGCCTGTGAATTGTGGGATGGATGTACTCTTAACGAATCGGAATTGCTTGAAAAGGCTCAAAGAGAAACATTAGGTATCTTTACTGGTCTTCCGTCATATGTAAACAACACCGCTTTATACAATGAAACAGGGTTGGAAAAGTTATTAGACCGAAGAAGAAAGAGAAAACTGCAGGTGTTATTTACGATAAAAAACAGTATTTCACCTTATTTTCTTAACGATCTCTTACCACATACGGTTGCTTTTAACAATACCAATCCACTTAGAAACAGAGATGATTTTATCGTTCCAAATCATAGACTTTCTTTTAGATGCTCTTCTTTTTTACCACCAACATTACTTTCTTGGAACGGGTTAGACGTGGAAACAAGATCTTCTCCTTCGCTTTTTACTTTTAAATCCGCTATTTCACATCCAGTTAATGAAAAAGCACCATCTTTCTACAGTTTTGGAGAAAGAGAACTTAATATATTGCATACAAAGTTGAGGTACAAATGTAGTCCGTTAATTATGACCCTTTTAGAGTAAATCTGACTGAGAACTCTGAATGTATTTGTGAAAACCCTGTGAGAATGTCTACCACTTCTTTTCCATATGTCCTCGTTATAATATACAGAGACGTACTCTTCTTTCAAATATAGATGATTTAAATCTGGATGTTGTCATTGATATCAATTTACTGCTCATAGGAAATGAAAATCTGTCTGTAGAAGTAAACACTTCAATATGTAGAAATGTGCAAAAGTACATAAAATCCAGCCAAAGGTTTAGTTAATGTGATATGACATTAACTCGTCATATTTGTATCTGTTGTATTATTTCATTTATTGTATGATAAAATGGTATTCATTGTGATCAAATAACGCTATTTCTCAATTTATGTAAAATTTATTGTGGAGAGGGCCTTTGTAATGTTGATATAACTTGTGCCTAATCCGTTTGCTTCATTTATGCAATAAAATATGTTTAAATCAATCAAACCGAATTTTATTTGGATAACATTGATTCATTCTTAATGTTATTCTTGTAAAATTATTTGTTAACTGTGCTTAAAATATCAAACAATAAATGATTTTTTTTAATAAATTGCCATTTTAATATCATATTATAATATACATACATTGCAAGGATATATTGATTTTTCAATATTTTTGACTACAAACAGCAGTGCAAAGTTGAGGTACAAATGTAGTCCGTTAATTAAAAAAGTCAATGCAGACTTTGGACTCACTCAACGTGACAGTCGTGTTGTCATCTCTAGAATATGTAATATAGGCTTTGTCAATCTGAAATGAAATTGTAAATATGTGAAATTGTTCATGACCAAATGAAATTCTTCTTTCTATATATATATAAAGATCTAACTTTGATGTTTTCAAGTGGTGTCCCATTTAAGCCCCATATTGTAAACGACGTAGAAAGAAATCTCTGCGCGATTAGATAGTTTTGGTCATTGTATATTTCCGAGGTACTTGCGTTTGTTTCCGTACCTCGAATAGAAGGGCATTCATTTCCATAAACCACACCGGAGGTTGGCGCGCGCCATGGGTCACGGGGTAAACTTCGCCCTACGTCATCAAATAAAATCAACGAATTGCCGATAAGCTCACTAGGAACTGATAGACATGAATTTTTATGACTAATATTTGAAAGTAGTAACTTTTGGTTGAGGGAAAATTTCCACTCATCCCATCCCTTCGCTTAAATATCTGGACAAAATAACCAAATTTAAAAAGGCATTTTTTTTGTTTTTGATAATATGGCGAAACATGTTTTTTTATGTACTTTTTATTTTTAGTGTTCAACAAATTCACATATAAATGGCGGGGTTACGAAATCAACCCACGACAGGACAAATGTCGAGTCGCGATAAAAACACCAAAATGATGAAATAATATACAACAACCACATTTAATCAATCTTTAAAATAATACAATTTCATATATTTATATACATATCACACTTACATTTTATCACAGTAATAGTACTATCTTAGAACAGTCACACTTCAAAATCTAGAAACGGTTAAGTACGATGAAAAAAACAACATTCGACATAAAGGAGGTAGAATACATAGAAAAAAATACCACGGGAAAAAATCGTGATAAGTAGAATGGAGAAGATCTCGACTTTGAAATATAAAGAAAATTAATATGTCAAGAAAATAGTCCTCGAAATAAGCGGGGTGATCGAGATATCAGAGTTTAAAATACATTGACATAAACTATCGGGAGAACAAAAAGATACTTCGAGATAAGTGAAGTGTCCAAAGATATCAAATTCATAAGTTACAGTAACAACATCGATAAATACTTTACATTGCATACATGACAATTATGTAAAACTGTACATTCTTACATCTATGTAACAGTGTGTTTAATTAGGTTATACCGATATACGACGGGAAATATGTATCATCAGTGTTTTGTCTCTCGTTCTCCAGTTTCCCTGGTCATATTAATCCCTTATTCGGAGCATTTCTTGAAAAATAAGCAAGAGACACCAAAACCCGCATTAGGAACACGTCGGCCGATTGTGTCTTTGATGAAAGAAACTGTTATCAGGGTGCAATCGGGATCGGCAAACCTCGGTTGAATCGTTCCAATGGAACGAGTCATCCGAGGAGTTCCGAGTGATCTGAGCGAGGTGTTCCAAATCCATACCCGAGTTCCGAGTGACTGAAGCAGACGCGACAACAATGGCGCGTGAACGTGATCATCAGTTATGATGTTATTGTTCTAAAATTTACATGTCTACTGATCTTGCTTCGTCCACGTAAAACATACAGTAATTTTCAGAGAAACAAAACAATCTATCGTTTAAATGTCGCACCAGACATGTGGAACCGTAGCATAAAAATGGACGAGATTATAATACTGACAAACCTTAAGAAAAAAAAATCTTATCAAAAATGGAAGCTATTCCCAAAGAACAGCTACACGGTAAACTCACTTACAAATATTTATCAAGTATGGACATTTGTTGCGGGAAAGATGTGGTTATATGAACCCGTGAATGAGATAGTAACCGAGACGAAGCAGTGGTCTATATAACGTTCAGGTTCATATATCCCCATTTTCACCGAAATCAAAGTCCATATAAGTTATATAAAAAATGAATGATGCTGCTTTTTCATCATCAAAGTAGACGTGACGTAAGACGTAACGCAAAGAGAATTGTGCTGCAATTGGTAGAAACCATTGTGACGTCACAATATTGAATTGACGTCATACTTACAATGTTAACCTGCTGTTTTTCAAAATAGTAACACAGAGTTAATATTACATATCTCCGACCTCCCCGTGTGATTATGATCTAACCAATAAGGCTGCAGGGGAAATGTTGTGTCATCTGATAATACGCAGTATGGTGTACGCGATTCTTGTGTAGTTAATCCGTAAAGGTGATTAAAACGGGAATTGGATGGCCATCATCCGCATCATTATTTTATCTGTTTTAAACTGTACACACAGAATCTTATACAAATGAGACCAAAGTGAGTATGGGTCAATCCAAATACTACTCTTAACACGTTTTCTCTTCCCTTAAAGCTATATAATACATTTCATATTACATGTAACTATGTTTCGGTACTAGAGTTATCGCCCTTATCTTTTTAATGGATGTTACCTCTGGAAAAAATAGGAAAACCCTATTGACGTAGGCACTTTAACCAGATCAGGACTCGGATGTTCAAAACCTGTTCATTAAAACTTACAAAATGCGATTTTAAAAATATCTAAACATTTACAAGGTATTTTTTTAATTCGATTTTACTTATATTGATGTCTATACATATATATTTAGTTTTTAATTTCAATACAGATTTTAAAATACTCTATGAGAATATATTTAATGTCTCGATCAACACTTTTCTTTAAAAATCGTGTTGGTCTGTTCAAACACGCCGTTGTCTTTGTATCGCTTGATCATCAATATTTTGGAAGCGGCTTCTTATTTTTGTGTGTTGGTCACTTAAAGCCTTCTATATGTCATATAGTTTGAAAATATTCAAGGAAGCGTCCTGACCGCAATGCACGTCCGTTGCTCTTTATCAGGGATGTCTTTCTGTCTTGGTTTTACTCGAAGACATAGGAGATAATGGCAGTTCGTATCTAGACCCGAAATAAGAAAATTCCGTGTAGATTTATGCAGGTTCTCGGTTCTGATTTTCGATGTTTGACCTAAGAGTTGGTATTCCAAGCTAAAGCCGGTCTCGATTTCATCTTCAGACGTCCATTCTAGATTTATTCCGTTGTCGGTCTCAATGATTTTTGTAAACCGGAACATCGACGATCCATTTCCGGTGTGTGGACGTAACGTGACGAAAGGATCTGGAGTAGTTTGTCTGGTTGTTTGTTGAGGCGAAACAGTTGTAATGTTTTCACATACTCCTTCTTCATGCGCAGAATCGCAAACAAGTTCCTCTTCCGGTATTTCCCAGAGAGCTCTGTTCATGTACTTGCCGGGTGTATTGCAGTAACTTTCAATTATGAACTCGTTGAGAAAATCGTCTGCGATTCTGTCGATTATCCATTGACGTAAGAAACGATGTCTACAGTCACAATCTAGTGGATTTCTTCCCAGATATAAAGTATCCAGTGACGTCAGATGTTGCAGGACGCACCGCCCGAGCGTGCGAAACTGGTTTCCTTGGAGATAGAGGACCTTCAAGGACTGCGACAAACCGTAAAATGTTTTCTCGTTTAGCCGACTGAATAGGTTTTGTTGTAGCTTCAATTCTTCAAGATGGGTATTGTGTGTGAATTGAAAGTCTGGAATTTCGGTAAGGCCTGTGCTATCAAGCTGCAGAGTGTGTATCTGTCGGAGATTCCGAATCGCTCTCCACATCTCGGATTCCGCTACAGGCGTGCTTTTCAGGTATAATTTCTTAAGAGTTTCCTCCAAGCCGTGTAACCCCTCGGACGTGAGATTAAACTCTCGCGTGTTTTCGCCACTTAAGTCCAACTCTGTGAGCCTTGGAGTGTGTAGGAACATTCCGGGAACCAGTGACGAGATCATGTTTCCGGAAAAGTCAAGATAAGTCAAATTCTGCAATCCTTGTAATGAACCCGGCTGTAGAGAAATGATTTCGTTCGAATCCAAATTCAGATATTCTAGCGACCTCATATTAAAAAACAGTCCGAGAGGGAGCCGTGTAAGATAGTTGTGTCCGATATTCAGCTGAGTAAGTTTTCTCCAAGTCGGAGACGCCAAGGGACCTATGTTTCCAGCATCTAGCTGGTTCAAATGTAGACCAAGATATTCTAATGAATGTTCGATCCCTTCAAAACAATCCGGAACGAGGTCACGAATGGCATTATGGGACAGATCCAACACTTTCAACTTCTTGAAAGACGAAAACGCTCCAAACGGAATTCGCCTCAAGTTGACATACACAGCGTATAACTCCTCTAGATTTTTCAACGGCATTAAACCAGAAACTGGAAGGTTTCCGAGCTGCAGGTATTCCATTCGTAACTTTTTGAGATTTGGAAGCCTGTCTTGAAAAGCATCTTTTGTGATGTAGGATATATCCATATTTTTCAGCACGAGCTCTTGTAAGTTAGACAGGCGACTGAAGTCTGCGTTTACACGTGTAATTGAATTCTGTTGAAATCCTTTCAGCGTTAACTTCTTTAAATTTCTCAGAGTAGACAAAGCACGGTATGGAGGAGGGTGGCGTCCATTTCCTTGCAGCGAAATTTCTTCAAGGGACATCAGCAATCCTTTAAATGCTTGATGGGAAACAAAATCCAGAAGGACGTTATCGATGCGAAGGACACTGATCTTTAATCCTCTAAACGCACTCGCTGGAATAATTGTTATGTTATTACATCTGTCGCAATTGTCCTGATTGGCGAGAGTGAGTTCGTAGAAAAGTTCGTCCGAGGCTCGGAAGTCGGGGACGCGACTAAGACTACGTGATCGGCAGTTGATTATACGACCTTTACCCGGATGTCCCCTCTCACACCTGCAGAGGTCACTCGGGCACTGCTGCTGTGCCAAGATGGCTGCAATTCCAGTCACCAAAACGAGGCCAACAAGGAAACATTTCGTTCCCGTCATTTCTCGCTTTATTTTCTGTCTTTAGGGACACTACAACAGAATAAAACAAAAAAAAACATTACAATTGAAATGTTCAGGAAAATAATAAAACTGTTTGTTGTTTGTATTTGTTTACGAAGGTTTAATAATTGGGACCAAAGAAAGATACATACATATCTATTTTCCGTATTATTGTTTTTTATCTATCCATTTTTTATAAATTAATTTGACTTTCGTAACCGTTTAAATGAATCGTGAGGTTTTAGTTGATTTTCGAAAAAAACACCTCCTCTACACGATAATTTATATATTTGCGATTAAAATCATGCAGAAATTCACGTATACTTCGCGAAATACATCCTCAATAACACAATATCCTGAGTATGAAAATAAAATCAAGACAAAATGTTAGACAGGTGACTTAAACATTCCAAACATTCTCGGGATACCTTAAGTATATTAATGGGATATTTGGTATGTTAAGTAGAAGTTGTTAGATACATGAAATGGTTTTTCGTACTGTACAGTAAAACTCGCACGTATTACTCCTCTATTCGTTCGAGTGTACATGTTATCATGGACTGATGTTATCCCTATACAAAGGTCAGAGGATGTTCCGAGTAGACATTTGTTATGTATTTGTGTTTATGTGAATGTTAGTCACTGGCCATAAGTATTGGCGCATAATGGCGACGTCATTAAGTGAATAAAATGTATTCCTATCTTTTTCAGCTGTATCTTTGCCATTATAACACGTATTCTCACAAAACCAGTACCGGAACAATTTGTGGATGTAGGAAATTGCGTATACATTCAAAAAGAGTTATTCCCCTTCCTATGTGTTTATATTGTCCTCTGCCCGTCAATGACTCCAAAAAGCCGTGAATTACCCCCAGCCGTTAAAGAAGACATTGTAAAGCTGTCTAACAGTGGTCTTTCGGCTCGAAAAATTGCAGGGTTTTTAGAACTTAAAGAAAGAACCGAACAGAACTTGTTGAAGAGATTCCGTGAAAGGGAAAGTGTCGAAAATTTACCAAGAAATGGCGACCCAGAAAATCGTCTGACAGGTCTGATCGTAGTGCTCGAAATTTGCGTTTCTCGGCTATGTTTTGGGGATGTATTTCCTATTTTGGGGTCGGAACACTTACATCTGTTGATGGAAATATAAACACTGATAAGTATATTTTCATTTAAGATGAAAATTTATGGCCTGTTGTCGCGGGACATTTTGCAATTACACCCTGGATTTTACAAGAAGATAAGCTAACGAGTGGAAAACTGTAAATAATATCAGAACTTTACCATGGCCATCCCGAAGTCCAGATCTCAATGTGATTGAAAATGTTTGGAAAACAATAAAAAGCCGTCTTTCGAAACGTTTAGGAGAGGTTCAAAACAGAGCAGATCTGATCAGAGTTGTGAACGATATATGGTCAAGTTTGCCTTTGTGCTATATTCGAAACCTTCATAATTCACTACCAAAGAGATTACGAAGTGTAATTAGAGTTAGAGGACAGAAAACAAAGTACTGAAAATTTCATATAAGTACCTTCTTTATTTGCCCTCCCTTATAAGATCCTAGCGTGGGTGGGGGTTGGCTGCATTTAGTAAGGCCAGGTTACGTACAAGCGTATGCTGGTCTCCCTCAATTAGCCAGGTGGCGGTTTTGCCCCCCTCCTTTAATAGTCACATAATTGTTTTCATTAGGCATAATGCCTATATGTAATCAGATCAGTATGATGTGGCATGTTTTACATGTTGTGTATACATGTTTTTATTTTACGTTGATTTTGTCCTGATGGCCCGAGTAATTCAATCGTTATACGGTTTTTACCACTTTAACAAGCGCAATGACTCAGATATTATTTTGGTATTTTTTAATTCAAATGACTAGCGCACTAAATACAGCACTAATAAAAATAGTATCCCTTCTTAGAAAAATTCAAATTGTCGATTGTGACAAGGTTCGCTCTAAAATAGAAGGATGGTCCAAGTGCTCTTTTCGTACATGATAAACTGTTTGTCTATAACTACCATCTCTCTATCACGATCGCGTGCATAAAATTACAATTAGTCTGTAAAGATCACAAGTAATGCTTGCTGTCTGTCTATAACGACCTCCTATATACAACTACGGCTGTTTATAAAAACCTCTTTATATAACGACTGTCTGTCTATAACGACCTCCTGTATACAACTACGGCTGTTTCTAACAAACACTTTCTATAACGACCACCTATATACAACTACGGCTGTTTCTAACAAACACTTTCTATAACGACCGCCTGTCTATAACGACCGTCTGTCTATAACGACCTCCTATATATAACTACGGCTGTTTATAAAAACCACTTTATATAACGACTGTCTGTCTATAACGACCTCCTATATACAACTACGGCTGTTTATAACAAACACTTTCTATAACGACCGTCTGTCTGTAACGACCTCCTATATACAACTACGGCTGTTTATAACAACAACTTTCTATAACGACCGTCTGTCTATAACGACCTCCTATATATAACTACGGCTGTTTATAATAACCACTTTCTATAACGACCGTCTGTCTATAATTACCACGTGTATGCAACTACCATCTGTCAATAACGGCCAACTATATGTAACTTCAGCCTGTCTATAACGACAACCTGTAAAAAAACTACCATTTGTCTATAACTTCCACCTGCCTTTTTAATTACCAAACAAGTGTAACTATTACCTGTGGATAGAAACCTGTCTATATTAAACTATTGCTTGTAAATCACTACTGGATTATTAATCCCTGAACTATTTTCTTGTTTTCTCAATAAGATAGGAGCCTATACCTTTACGAAACATTTCATTATCATATTTTTTCACACTTTCTCTCTTTGGCGTTCGTTGTGGACAGATTAAATTGTAAGCACGTGCATTAGTCATATAATTATAATATATCAATGTATATTATGTATATGAACGTGTACGTGCACCCTCCCGTATCACACCATAGCCACATATAGCTACGTCAGCTAGTGTTAGGCCTTGACGTGTACACCGTCATGAAAATTATACTCGTTGAACATTTCCATTTAATTATATGTTAAGCTAACAAATATAGGAATAACGGTGACTAGGCGGTACCATACGGTACCAGTTACATAGATATTGATGAACAATGGAGAGCATACAAGTGTACAAAATGACGCACTTCCCACAATAGTACACAGATTATGTAACTCTCTGGGCCCAATCCTCTATGCTTTGTTAGGGTAGCGGGCCGAATATCAAAAAAATAAATTATATTCTAACTTTTCTAAATATGAAGTTTCATAGATGCACAAACATTTTCTGTGTGTTATTTGAAATATTTAAACTGTAACTTTGAAATCTTACACAGGTTTGAACAAACCTCTCTAAAAAAAGACAATGATATTTGTTTTTCATTACATTACTATCAAGCTGACAATGCGAATCCAACGGTTTGCTAGTGTCTAACTCAATGACCATCCAAGCTATAATGTGCCACGACGGTAATTCCCTACCATTATCGTCATGCATGGAAAATGTCGATGACGAATGTTTGCGGAAAGGAAACTGACTAAGACATACCTGTGATCGTAATATATATAGTTTCGACTTTGTTGCTAAAGATAGCATAGATTGAGTTACGGAATTAACGCTTTATGGGTGCTTCCGACGGTGTTTGAGTGGGAGTGGTAAATCAAATGATTCCTCCCTGCGGAATTTGTGAAAAAGTGCCAAATCCAAAATGCGGCAAAAAATTCTCTTTAAAAGATGGGGTTTTTTTTTTTTGTTTTTGTTTTTTATCTTTTTCACTTTATACACAAACATTGTACGAATAAAACGCGTCGTGACGTTTTCCAGACCGACCCGTCCCTGCAACAAATTTCATCCTAGAAACTGTTTGCTAGTATTTACTGCAGTGTTAACAAATGACACGGTTTACTTACCGTACAAACACGTTATTATATTGATAAACAATAAACAAACAACTTGTTGACATATTTTGTCGATTTCATGCGTTAGTCACCCAAAAACATGTGATAATATCATATGGCTAGTGTCCGAAATACTGAAACGAGTTGAAGTTTGGTGAGGTGAACATTTTCGCTATTTCGCGATGTTTATAGATTATCTGGATTCCTTTCAGGGATGTTTAGAATACATATGTAAACGTCTAATAAAAATAAAACGACAGAGATGAATGATACACAGTTGTTCAGACTTTTCCCACATAAACCCGTGCTAAATACTTCTGTCATAATTGATATAAAATGTATAAACTTTTTTTTTTGTATCATGTTAGTACATAAAGTTGAACAATCTTTACTTAAAAATCACCCTTAATCAATACATCTAATCCATCATTCAATAAAATACCACCCTTTCTTTCCCTTTTTAATTATTACTTTATGACTAATAAACAAAAATCATTATTAGTATTACTTATTTTGTCTTTATTTCAAACGAATAAAAAAGAGATGCCATTTTCTTATGCAATTATGACTACAAAGATTAAATATTAGGAACAAAATTCTTACATGTACCAGTATAATCTTCTAACGAGCAAAAGTCCAATATATTTTCGATAAAAATAACTGAGATTTTCAAAAACTCACTTTCCATACTGAAATGTCTATTTCACATGATATATGACTGTAGTTTATTTATAGAATTAATTCGTATCATTCTAGTCAGCCAACATAATTTGGAAAGTTCCATTTTTAAAGGTCTCTAAACACACAATTGAAGACACCTTCCATTTCCTTTTTAACTGTGATAATTATGTTGAACAGAGAATTAAACTTTATCGTGAACTGAATGCATACATCCCCCTTACATTGAATCTACTTCTTTTTGGAGATATAACAATTTCGGAACAAGAAAACAAAATTATTTTCATGAATACTCAGCAATATACAAGGCTCGAACAGATTTTAACACCCTCCATCCTTCAAAATCGACATCTTTATTGATACATGTATCTTACTAATACTAAAAGATTGACAACACGAGTTGCAACATATAAATATACGTACATATATAAATATAATGAAGTCGTGTGTTTGGGCTTTCTCTGTGCGGACGGACTAGTTGAAACGGAAATACCAGCAAGAGCGGAGTGAACAGGAGGAAGTTATAATAGCACGGGATGTGATGAACATTGATCAGAAGAAAGTTGTGAACAGAGAATAGTATAACTAGTCCGTTCGCATGGAGAAGGAACAACCACGTGGTCTGAAATATATTTTCTTAAATTTACAGTCTTGTTGCAGTACTTATCTAGTACTCTTAAAAAATCTGACCCTCTAACCCCTTCTTCCCTCTCTCTCCTCCCCTCTCACCATCCCCCTATCTCTCTCTCTTCCTTTATCTACATGTGCATGTTTATATTTGTGAGCATGCGTGTGGTTCGGTGCGTGAATGTTTGGGTGTATGTATGTCACTGATTAATTAATTTATAATACATAGCTTATTTACGTAGTTCTGCCATCATGAAATTTTGTTAAAATAATATTATTGTACAGGGAAAGGGCTTGATATAAGTTGTAAAACTTGTGCCCAATTCCATTGCTATGTAAAAAAGGCAATAAAATATGTTTAAAAACCAAAAACGCAATTGACGATATTGAGAAAGCACTGAAATTATCCTCAATGGACATCTTGATGGCTAACTTCCTATCATCACTGAATTAATTTGTTTTCATTTGTGAAAAAAACACCTTTGAGGGGTTTAAAACAAAGTTTATGTATTCATAAATCTGCCAATGTCTCGAGTACACTGACAAATCAAATAGGTGTTCACTTTCCTCTGTAATGACCGTCTCAGTACTGTATACATGTTATATTTTACAACTGGTTAAATTTTGCGCAGCAATCGTTCTGTAGTAAAAGCGAACCTGCTGTCCATTTCACTGTCGCCTATAACTCAATATAGCGGTTATGTCTTGGTCATTTTGTACCTTAAACGTTCTTAATATGTTCAAATCTCTTTCTCACTGAAACCCCATTGATCGATATATAAGGAAAACACTTACCTGTGTTATTTTTTCAGTATACTTAATCCACAATGTAATGAATGGTTCGTTTTTTTCTGTAAACGAAGGGTCTACATATAGCTCAGTTAGTTTCGAACAGTATGATTCAGTTGTGGTCGGTACAAACGTAAAATATATAGACATTGACGGGAAATACCATGATTCATGTAACTCACGCATGCGCGGTTACGCGACACACTTCCGGAAGTAAAATATACTTTGATACTTGATGGACTTAAGTGATAGCAAGTGCAATGTCACTAACTGATGCGATGAACCTTATATAAATAATCTTGTTTACGATGTAATGCGATACGTTTGTGTTTACAATGTATTGCAATCTGTTGTTTATGTTACCCTTACTCATAATATGTACTAGTCATTCATGAACTGTGTACATGTTTGCTCAACAGTAGATTCTGGGTTTCGTTGAGAAAGATATTGGCTGGTTGCAAAGGCTCTATATATAACCACGGATAATAATCTGTGAACCGCTTTGAGACGACCTACGAACTAGGTTGTGACAAAGCGGTATATAAGAACCTCGAATTATTACTATCAAAAATTGACAAATTCAAAGCCTCAGAGCAAAGCTTACTGAACACATTCAAAAATACATGTATGTGACAGAACGGCTCGGAACACATAGAACACATTCTGTGAACAGATGTCAATGGGAACACATACTCTGAACAATGGCGTCACAGAATGGCTCAGAACATAGAAAACGTATACCCTGATCAGATGTCAATGATGTCAGAGAACGACCCAGAACACAGAAACCATATACTCTGAACAGATATCAATGGCGTCACAGATCGGCTTAGAACACTGAGAACACACAATCTGAACAGATATCAATGGCGTCACAGAACAGATGTCAATGGGAACACATACTCTGAACAATGGCGTCACAGAACAGCCCAGAACACAGAAAACATATACTCTTAACAGATGTCAATGGCGTTTGCTCAACAGTAGATTCTGGCTTTCGTTCGAGCAAATTAAAATAAATTATTCATCGTTTGTTCCTACGTACGTGTTAACGTTTTTTTTCTTTGTCATGTATCTCCAATTCTGTGGATTGTTATACAATCTCAAAAGAATTTTCTACCATGTATCTACAAGTACATTGTTTTTTTTATATCTTCAAACTTTACTCATATAGTTGTCATCAAGTAAACTATAACGTCTTTTTCATAATTATCATCATTCGTTTCCTTCAAAAACAGATATCGTTGAAAAAAAGAAAGAAAACAAGCACAAAAATTGTGAGGACGCCGGGCTCGTGACCGAAGGGTTGCGGGTTCGAGTCACGGCACGCCTCTGTGTTTTATCTTTGAGCAAGATACTTTACACCGTTTGTTTCAGTCTACTCAGCTGTTAATGAGTACATGGTTGGGCAGTGCTAGAATGGTTGAATGCCAGCTGATAGCGCCGAAATGGCAGCTCCAGCTGTGTGCTCCCCAGAGAGTTGAGAAAGATATTGGCTGGGTGCAAAGGGTCCATATATAACCACGGATAATAATCTGTGAACCGCCTTGAGACGACCTACGAACTAGGTTGTGACAAAGCGGTATATAAGAACCTCGAATTATTATTATCAAAAATTGACAAATTCAAAGCCTCAGAGCAAAGCTTACTGAACACATTCAAAAATACATGTATGTGACAGAACGGCTCGGAACACATAGAACACATTCTGTGAACAGATGTCAATGTCGTCACGGAACGGCTCGGAACACAGAGAACGCATATTCTGAACAGATGTCAAATCCGTCACAATACGACCAACAACACAGAGAACACATCCTCTGAACAGATGTCAATGGGAACACATACTCTGAACAGATGTCAATGGCGTCACAGAACGGCTCAGAAGATAGAGAACGTATACTCACTCTGACCAGATGTCAATGGTGTCAGAGAACGACCCGGAACACAGAGAACACATATTCTGAACAGATGTCAATGGGGTCACAGAACTTCTCAGAACAAAGAGAACACATACTTTGAACAGATGTCAATGGCGACACAGAACATCTCAGAACAAAGATAACACATACTCTGAACAGATGTCAATGGCGGCACAGAACGGCTCAGAACACAGAGAACACATACTCTGAACAGATGTCAATGGCGTCACAGGACTACCCAGGACACAGAAAACATATACTCTGAACAGATGTCAATGGCGTCACAGAACGGCTCAGAACATAGAGAACGTATACTCACTCTGACCAGATGTCAATGGTGTCAGAGAACGACCCGGAACACAGAGAACACATACTCTGAACAGATGTCAATGGCGTCACGGAACGGCTCAGAACATAGAGAACGTATACTCACTCTGACCAGACGTCAATGGTGTCAGAGAACGACCCGGAACACAGAGAACACATACTCTAATCAGATGTCAATGGCGTCACAGAACGGCTCAGAACACAGGGAACGTATACTCTGAACAGATGTCAATGGCGTCACAGAACGTCTCAGAACACAGAGAACAAATAATCTGAACAGATGTCAATGTCGTCACAGAACGACCCGGAACAAAGAGAACAAATACTCTGAACAGATGTCAATGTCGTCACGGAACGTCTCGGAACACAGAGAACAGATTATCTGAACATATGTCAATGGCGTCACAGAACATCTCAGAACAAAGAGAACACATACTCTGAACAGATGTCAATGTCGTCACGGAACGTCTCGGAACACAGAGAACAGATTATCTGAAAAGATGTCAATGTCGTCACAGTACGACTCGCAACACAGATAACACATACTCTGAACAGATGTCAATGGCGTCACAGAACATCTCAGAACAAAGAGAACACATACTCTGAACAGATGTCAATGGCGTCACAGAACGGCTCAGAACATAGAGAACGTATACTCACTCTGACCAGATGTCAATGGTGTCAGAGAACGACACGGAACACAGAGAACACATACTCTGAACAGATGTCAATGGCGTCACGGAACGGCTCAGAACACAGAGATCGTATACTCTGAACAGATGTCAATGGCGACACAGAACATCTCAGAACAAAGAGAACGCATACTCTGAACAGATGTCAATGGCGTCACAGAACATCTCAGAAAAAAGAGAACATATACTCTGAACAGAAGTCAATGGCGTCACAGAACAACCCGGAACACAGAGAACGTATACTCTGATCAGATGTCAATGGTGTCAGAGAACGACACGGAACACAGAGAACACATCCTCTGAACAGATGTCAATGGCGTCACAGAATGGCTCAGAACACAGAGAACACACGGAACGGCTCGGAACACAGAGAACAGATTATCTGAATATATGTCAATGTCGTCACAGTACGACCCGCAACGAAGAGAACACATACTCTGAACAGATGTCAATGGCGTCACAGAACAACCCGGAACACAGAGAACGCATACTCTGATCAGATGTCAATGGCGTCACAGAACGGCTCAGAACACAGAAAACATATACTCTGAACAGATGTCAATGGCGTCACAGAATGGCTCAGAACACAGAGAACGTAAACTCTGAACAGATGTCAATGGCGTCACAGAACATCTCAGAACAAAGAGAACACATACTCTGAACAGATGTCAATGGCGTCACAGAACGGCTCAGAACACAGAGAACACATACTCTGAACAGATGTCAATGGCGTCACAGAACATCTCAGAACACAGAGAACACATACTCTGAACAGATGTCAATGGCGTCACAGAACGGCTCAGAACACAGAGAACACATACTCTGAACAGATGTCAATGGCGTCACAGAACGGCTCAGAACACAGAGAACACATACTCTGAACAGATGTCAATGGCGTCACAGAACATCTCAGAACACAGAGAACACATACTCTGAACAGATGTCAATGGCGTCACAGAACGGCTCAGAACACAGAGAACACATACTCTGAACAGATGTCAATGGCGTCACAGAACGGCTCAGAACACAGAGAACACATACTCTGAACAGATGTCAATGGCGTCACAGAACATCTCAGAACACAGAGAACACATACTCTGAACAGATGTCAATGGCGTCACAGAACGGCTCAGAACACAGAGAACACATACTCTGAACAGATGTCAATGGCGTCACAGAACGGCTCAGAACACAGAGAACACATACTCTGAACAGATGTCAATGGCGTCACAGAACATCTCAGAACACAGAGAACACATACTCTGAACAGATGTCAATGGCGTCACAGAACATCTCAGAACACAGAGAACACATACTCTGAACAGATGTCAATGGCGTCACAGAACGGCTCAGAACACAGAGAACACATACTCTGAACAGATGTCAATGGCGTCACAGAACATCTCAGAACAAAGAGAACACATACTCTGAACAGATGTCAATGGCGTCACAGAACGGCCCAGAACACAGAAAACATATACTCTGAACAGATGTCAATGGCGTCACAGAACGGCTCAGAACACAGAGAACACATACTCTGAACAGATGTCAATGGCGTCACAGAACATCTCAGAACAAAGAGAACACATACTCTGAACAGATGTCAATGGCGTCACAGAACGGCCCAGAACACAGAAAACATATACTCTGAACAGATGTCAATGGCGTCACAGAACGGCTCAGAACACAGAGAACACATACTCTGAACAGATGTCAATGGCGTCACAGAACATCTCAGAACAAAGAGAACACATACTCTGAACAGATGTCAATGGCGTCACAGAACGGCCCAGAACACAGAAAACATATACTCTGAACAGATGTCAATGGCGTCACAGAACGGCTCAGAACACAGAGAACACATACTCTGAACAGATGTCAATGGCGTCACAGAACATCTCAGAACAAAGAGAACACATACTCTGAACAGATGTCAATGGCGTCACAGAACGGCCCAGAACACAGAAAACATATACTCTGAACAGATGTCAATGGCGTCACAGAACGGCTCAGAACACAGAGAACACATACTCTGAACAGATGTCAATGGCGTCACAGAACATCTCAGAACAAAGAGAACACATACTCTGAACAGATGTCAATGGCGTCACAGAACGGCCCAGAACACAGAAAACATATACTCTGAACAGATGTCAATGGCGTCACAGAACGGCTCAGAACACAGAGAACATATACTCTGAACAGATGTCAATGGCGT